TTAAAAGAGAAAAAACAAATATAAAAATATTCATATATGTAATTTGGAGCTCGACCGAGATAAAGAATCACTTTCTTGATCAATATTCAAAGAGGCGATGCACTCTTCGTTTAAATATAGCTTCAGAAAAATACGAACAAGGGAGACGAAGTGAAATGAAGAAACCCGATTGGTGACTTGTTACATCCATGTAAATAGACAGTAAAGTTATCGTATGAAAACAGCAAAAGACCCTATACAACCTTATTCTGCACCAACAGTTCTTGTATATTCTATCTCTGAACTACCAGTTTCTGTTTGTACTCCAATGAATGTTTTCACTCCCTTGTCACCAAGCTCAAATACCTTCGGTGAAATTGTCTGCAATGAATCACAAAAATAAAAAAGTTTCATGTACTTTTTTCAACCAAGAATTTGATGACAATCTAAAGTTCGAGATAGGAAAGTTTGTACCTCTAAAGCTCGGCTAAACTTGCCGAATTCATATGTTTCTGCACCTTCCCACATAACAGTTTTTGCACTGTCGAGAGCATTGTGGAACAAATAGACTGATTCCGGTCCAATGTCGACGCCAGTCCAACCATCCGGGATGGCTGATGCTGCCACCACCTTGTTCTTTCCATAATAAGTAAATCTGTCAACCACAACGACATCGCTTGGTAACAAAATCTCCACTCTTCTCAACTTAGCCTTTTCAAGGATTGACTTCGCAAAATTTACGTCTTCATCATCCACTGGGAATGATCCCACTGAAAGATCTTGTGCCTTGTAAAAAGTAAATATCATTTCTCCATTCAGTATCAGTGTATCACTCTTATCCAGCATTGATTCTATCTGTAACTTTCTATTGGAGACGCGTTTACCATCCACTACAGCAACAAATGGCCTTTGAATAGGACCAATGTCCAACTCCTAAAACAAACGAAACAATAGTTTTATCGCACTATTAAGGAAAAAAAAATACCATATTTGAAGTACAACTCGAATTAGTGCTAAAACGCTAAGGCTCGACTGGATCGGTGTTGTTTTTTAGTATAGGTACATAATTTGCCAAACAATACCCTTTTCTCATGTGAACCAGTAAAAGGGGGCAAAAATTTTGAGACCCCTTCAACTGCTTCATGTGCAATTCCAAGAGCATCATTCAGGCTCTTCTTGGCAAAGTCCATCTCTGTGTGTGTGTGTTAGTTTTGGTAATCTTTCAAGTATTGTCTGTGCAATTCTGTTATTAGCTTCCCTCTATATATAGCCGTGGATGAACATTGAATGATGTTTGTTTGGAATTATACTGATCGGATATATATTTATCTTCCACATTCTATAAATAGAAATCAAAGTTGGCGGGTGGGTGGCATCACATTATCACATATGGATTATATTCTCACCCAAAACAAGATTTTTTTATTTTTATTTTTATGCCACGGAGGTTACAGCCAACACCGGCTTGGCGGCTGTCGGAATCTCCGGAAGGGTATCTTACAGAAGAAGCGGTGGCTTTTGAAATCTGGGAATGCCACGGAAGGATAAAGATGAAGTTGTTGATATCAGTTTGGTACCTCAGCATCATCCCACATCAAAAATAGAAAACAAAGCCTAACTTTGTACCCTTTTAACTGA